ATGCGTTTTAATGATTTTATAATTAATTATTATATATTGTACAAAGGCAGGTATTTCATTTGTTGCAAACAATCGAACAATATTAGGCGTTTAAATTGTATATTTTCACTAAGACCCTGCAGTGTTTGCTATTATGGTAGGTTGCAATATACCTTGATACACGTACTCACTCATTGTTCTTTTATGTATTATCGTTCCACTCCAAAATCGACCGATTTAGTTTACTAATTTCTTCTGTCATCCACTTTGAAATCAGTTTAATTCGCGATCTCCTCGATGACCAGAGAGCTCTATTCGTCCGTTGTATTTACCTATCGTCTATTCTCGAGACTCTAGTGGTCTCTCACACCACACACGTCCACGTTTATTATCCTGTTTGGTTTCACACATGAATAATAATATACATATATATATGACATACGAATAGCGAGACTTTCTCTTCCATCCCCGTCATCACGAATCGTATCCGTCGCCTGTCACAATTTCGTCCGCCCGCGCTTTATTCTAAATGTCTCGCACACAGCTCAATTCTCGTTAAAACAGTTTAAAAAAATTTCTAATTTCCATTCAAAGACTGCACATTTTATTTATTTAGTATTCGATTCGAACGGGTTGAATTTATTTCCTGTGTAGTAAGTTGACCGGATCACTTGCAGTTGAATAGATATTATAATGCTCAACGGACACGTTCGAATAACGACTTTATAAGAATATATATTTATATAGTTGGCCTACACGCATGTCACACAAATACACAGATGTAATATATTATATTAAATATCGCTGTATCAATCGATTAAGCTTCTCGTATATGTTAGAACAAATAAAACACTTATCATAATCATCGAACATTTATCAGCAATATATAACTTATACGTTTAAATCGAGATAATTATGACTATATTATATCGCTCCACGTTTTTCATTAACCGCACAGTTTTATTTTTTGAACACTACATCCGGTCTTCGACGGTGTACAACAACGGCAATAATTAACTACCTCTATTTGGTGATGTCATAGTACTACAATAATATAAATGCGCTGTAGCTCAGGTGTAGCTATAATTGGCGATACAATTAAGTATTGTGTTTCTAATTTTTTTCAAAATGTAAAATCAATTTATTGTCAAATTGTATATAACTACTACCTACTCGATAAAATACATAAAAATATAACAAACTGCAGCTGGTATAATATATCAACAACGTAATATAACGCAGACGGATTACTGCGCAGTGCACATACATAATTCATTAGGCACCTACCCATACAAATGTCAAAATCGTGTCCGAGATAAATTCAGATAATGAGTTTAAAAAAATGAAATTTAAATAGGCGTTTAGTGCCAAACATATTAATTTTGCGACTACTGAGATTTACGACAGGAGTGGTTTTTCGACAAATACCGCCGTGCGTAATATATATATATAATATTATATATATATATGTTAATAATCGTGTCACATTCGCTTGCTGAATATACTATAATTATATTCAGGTGAAATACGTCTTTATATGTACGCTACTTATACACATTATAATATATAATATTATGGTCAACATCATAATTCATAATTATCGCGATAACAGCTGAACGCCCGAATAATATTAATACATGCCATTACATCGATATAATAATTTGTATAATAATTGAATATAAGTATATATATTTTTAGTCTGTACCTATATATATATATATAGGTACTTATTAACAACTGCAGTGTTTAGAGATCTTAGCAATAGCTCTGCGAACGGTATAGGCAGACACGGTATATATTGGCGAACCGAGCCGAATGGACGACACCATGAACAAGAGCCTGACGAATCATCATCGTACGCTGGCGAGGTAGGTATATAATGCGATATATAGGTAAATGCGGTAGTTCATGGTTCACGCGGAAATCGGGTATAAAATTAGTTGCGTCGGAACATTATATACGTACATAATATTATTATATACTGTAAAAGTGTTAATATATATACCTCTTTTCGTTATTGTTCTTTTGTTCCTCTAACTCAACGATTTCCGTTTGTATATTATTATTTATTACCTATTAATAATAATACATTATAATATACGATCATCTTTCATCCGACGAGGTCGGACGACAAGAGTCGACTTAAACACTCATATTCATCATATTCCGCGATCGTCTATACGCAGTAATAATAATTATAATATTATTATGTATTATGCTGCAGCAGTGTCTAATTGACAATATAAAATATTTAACGTCAACTCCGTCTCCTCCACCCGTCGTTCGTATTATATGCTATAGGTATAGATTTATTTCATTTCAACAAGTTGTACTTAGACGACATTGCACCTGTGCTCCCGTGTGGATAAAGATATAAACGTATTTTTTTTTCAATCGTTACGCCATAAATATATTAAATACGTTGTTTTTTGATATTTCTTAATTTTTTCTGCTAATTTGTTAGTACCATGTAAAGTAGACATGTAATTTATTGTTCAACTACCAATATATTTCAGAATTTTATATCCTATACCTACTATATTCTATTGTTATTATTTAGTATTAATGTTTTATTTCGGTTGATGTGGCGATGCCATCGTCAAAATGTCTCTGTTTAATATACAATATACATAGTATACCTACTAGATATCTATATATATCTAAATAATTTAATGCACACATATATATAGTGTACATAACAACAATTCATTTTGGCAGAAATCATTAAAATTGCCTATATTTTACTGGCTTGTAACAGCTGCCTATAGTTTTAAATTAATTTGTCACTTGGATTTGAATTTTACTTTTTATATACCTATTCTTTCTGCCTTCTAGAGGTGAGTACAACCAGGCAGCCGGGGTGTGTTTCCGGAAGGTCCGTTTAACGGTGTCTATTTGTATTTTTTGTTCATTCACCCATTATGGTGACTAACCGCCTGAACGAATGAACTCGTATGAATATAATATTATTTTCTTTTCAAGCCCTGTATAACCGGATGCATGGTAAATGACCCCGACCTTCGAGCATTGGGATTTAAATGCTTCAGATCTAGAAATAATGTTCTGTTTCGGTCGATAAATATCACATGTCATCACAACAAAGTACAAGATATTATCAAACTAGAGTTCAAATATGTATAGTTCAGATGTTGAGGGATTTTAAAAACACTAATCAAAAATATTATGTTTCAAAATGCCGACCTCGATTGTTGGTGTTAAATACATTTTTGTCAATATTGAATACGCAGACGAAATAACAGATCTGACTATAATAGATAGATATAATAATTAAAAATAAGGAATTTTCGATGAAAAAATGAACAGATATTTTCCCTGATACAAAAACTTGACTGCACGGAGATAATCAAGGTCACTATAATGAGGTAAAAACTATAAAAGTGAAGTCAAAGGTCAAAAACTTTGTCGTTAAAAATTACTAATTAATGTGCATTATGTGTCTTGTATATTATGTATGATAAAAATACACGCTGAAAAAAGACATGACAACTGGTACACGGAGGCGATTGTTTTTCACATTACCACGTAATTTGGTCGCGAATATCGAGTCTCAATTTTTGATTCGACTGCATCGACGAAAAGTCGGAGAGTATCTGCAAAGTGTGTTCATCCAAACTGGAATGAACGAGGTAGACGTCGGACAACTGGACAATAATTGTTATTATGTGTACAGTTTTTTTCACTACAAATACGCCTACACAAGTTGCCGAGCAGTACGTGACACGCCGCGGACAATCGATTGTTCCGGTTAACTAATCGTTCACATCAATCAGTTGCAGCCCTTAGATTTCTCATTGGCTCAAGGCCATAACGCTCCCAACCTAGTTTAGTGTTTTCGCGTGTACTTAAACTATATTGGTACGAGCAGTACACACATAAAATATAAATGTGTTTGTATGTGTGTAGGGGTAACGTGGCACCGGATGATCCGGTCACGACGTAGATCTCACGAGCGTTCATTTTTATTTTATTATTACTATTTTTTTTTTTGGGTCATCACACCTCTGCGAGGCCGTTACCGTTTTTGCGCTGCATATTATTTCGACTATGTTATTATACATTATATTACATTATTATTCTCTGAGGAGTGAAGTTGATAATAATAACACTATATAATAGAATATATGTATATAATATGTGTGTAGTGCATGTAATACTATATATTAGTGTACAATATACATAGTAGTTATAGATCTATATATTTATTAAATATATATGCGCATATCGAGCGGCTGCGGGAGTGGCAATATATGACTTATTTTTGTTTGGCCAAGTTCGAGTTAAAATAGTAATACATATAATAATATTTAAAAAACACGACACTATGACTGTCCTCGAGGTAAAAACCCGTAACGATCGGTGAGATGAATACAAATCCCCTAATAAATTATAATCGGGATCGACTTTTAAAGATGTGATAAACAGAATGGGCGTAGCAATGTGACGTGAGTCCCGAGAGGATTTACGATATGTGTTTATTATATAAGAATAACGACGTCGTACATGCCTACTACAGGAGTTTATAAATCACAGATCGCAAGGGACTGTTTGTTTAACTTCAAACAAACGACGCGTCCAAATGTACAATATGTCTGCAGTCGATAATTTATTTTAATATTTTATTTTTAATATGAATATATTTTTTTTTTTTGTTAAAGTGTGCAATATTGTGTGTACTGCCTATGTAGAACGGAGTCAACTATACTATTCTGCAATAATTTTATTATTATTATTATTATTATTATTATTACTATAAACTATATTTAAATGTATTTTAACGTGCCTAGGATTATTGTTATGTTCATCAACTATCAATAATTATAATTAAGTAAATCATTTTTTGAATTAGATACTAGAAATTTAAGTCATAACACAGTTCATTATTTCTGTTATGAGACTATAGTGACCGTGTGTACGGTGTTATGCTCAAACATTACATAGGTAACGTATTGTACATAAATAATAATATACTTATAATATATTATATATAAGGGCCGGCTTACCTGGACTTTGGTGCGGCCGTGCTGTTGGCCCGCCTGCAAGCCTGCGTCTTGGACGCCGGCGAGACGTGCGATCCGCCACCGCCACCCTGCAGTTGCAGTCTTTGCTCCGCCCGGTGTTGGGCGCTCTTGTCGTGCGCGTTGAACGAGTGCCTCCGCCTGCCATCTTCGGCCGCCGTACTGTGATAGGTTCCTCCACCGCCGCCGCCTCCACCGGATGCTCCTCCGGCAGAGTTCACCTTGTAAGTCTCACGTCTAAACTCTCGAAGCCACCGAGTGAACGCACCGGCACCGCCTCCACCACCGACGCCGACATTTGAATCCTCTCTGGAAATCGAAACACACTCTATTAGAAACGGAGTCTACTGTAGCAGTTTGGTAGAAGAAAAAAGGTGCAAGTCAGTTGTATTTTCAGTATAATATGAGTGAATTTGGATTGGTGCGCGGCTTAACACACTAATCGCAATTTTGAAAACATTTTTTCTTAATTCGGAGCTAGACGTGTATATTAATGATACTTATACTGAAATTATTAAATTATTTAAACGCCAGTGCCAAAACAAATCGTGTGTGCGTACTGTGGCTCAGCGGCGTGCATGCGACTTATTCTGATCCACCACTCCCAAGCGTATTAATTTCGATTTTCTAAAAGGGAACCTCCAAACAAATGTTTCATATTCTATTATATAATATATGTAACGAGTGCATAGTTGAATCCAAACTCCAAGCCATTTTATATAGATTTAACATAACTTGAGTATACGTATGTATGACACGCATATAAGACTGTTGTTGGTACAAGAAACCGAATTGCACGAAATCAAAGTTTCATTTTGTTTCATATTTTTGATAAACCCTTCTGGTGATGCGCACCATAACATCACTGGTCCAGCTAACAATTTTATTTTGAGGTTTTTTAAAATGTAATATTTAGGTACATATGTTAATCTATATCTTGTCAAATTGTATCTTAAATAAAACAAATTTTTATATTTTTGCAGGTATTAGCTACACCAAGTTGTTCTGGCACAATGCGTCTCATATTTTATATATAGTGTACAGTGTGCATAGTTGTTTTTTGTTTATATATTGGTAAGTTGTAAGTACATAATATATTAAATAGCCGGTAACGCACGCATCTGTGTATGCACGCCTGGCGTATATATAATTGGTAGATATTTCTTGGTAAGGCTCGAGGTCTCGCGGATTGATAATACTTGTGATTAAATAATTAGAGTACCGACCGTTATTATATACTTATGTACACGTATAATAACATATTATATATAGAACACGCGAAATAGATATTATATTAAATATAGTATCTATATAATATAAAGATATATAATATTATATATGTATATATAGGAGTAAGAGTATTAAAATATTATGCTTTCTGCAGAGAAGGCCCGACGGAATTCTTTAAATTGCAGTACGAAATTCGTTAGCTATTACAATATATTATGCGCGCGTATATATAAAGGTAATACTTAATTTCGAATATTATATACGTCTTATACGACCCTGCGGGCCTCGATACAGTTGCTGCAGCAACCATGCGTATATACAGTTCAACAGTTGTATAATATATGACGTTCAATCGAATTAAACCCGAGGACGAGTAAACTCGTATACTGGCATACTATCATATTTTTAATATACTAGTACCTATATAATATTATATACCATCGTAGGTTAAGTTACTGGAGTGCTATACAGCTAAATATAATATTATCATTATACTTTTTCCCCTACTCTCAACTTTTTTAGTTTCAACACACCTTTGGTACGTACATCTAGTATCTACGCTAAAGAACATATTAATAAAACGTTAAAAATTAACTATATACACAAAATATACACGAACAGCTATTGGTTATTAGCACACTATTAGTCTGTTTTATCCTTTTAAACCAAAATCAATTTGTATCAAATGTTACATTTTTTTCTCATATTATATTAACTATTAAGACATATTTAATTAATTGGAGTACTGTCCACGCCTAGCTGGGTACGGCAGAGAGCTCACTGCGGAGACGAATTTTCATGTTAAATGTACAGAGAATAGCATTAAACAAAAAACCTGTCATCGCCGTTTCATAGCAACAAAAGCGTACGATCGTGATGACGGATTGCAAAAACATGAATAACCATTCAATACATACTGCAATATACAAAATCCTGCAGCGGACTTTATGCGATATTAATATATTATTGAGAAATTAGTCAAGTATAGCTTACATATCATACCTATCTATATATATGCGAGTGTGTGTACGCGGAGATAGTAATTTATTTTTAATAGTCGCATGTATAGGTACATGTACATATTATTATTAAACAGTCGAACGGACGGTCATTATATATAATAATATTATTGTAATGACGTATTATTCCTATCCCCCACCACAGTTCCCAATCCGCGTTGAACAACGAATCATATACAGTACGAGTAAGGGACACATTCATATTATATTTTGTTTCTCAACTATACGTTTATGTGCAATATTACAATATTATTATGTATAGGTATGTTCGTTTTTTTAATTGCTCGGAAATGCACCTATACAAGTAATACACGACGACTACGAACATATCGCGCGTATGCTCGTACAGACAAAATATATCAATAGTCGAGTAGGTAAACCTATTATAATGTTTCGTTTCGCAAGATGAGCCCATTATTTTATATCGGAATACAATAACATAATAATATTATAATCGTACCGCGATGGGCGTGCACAATTTTCAACGTCGCACAAGCCCGTGTGCGTATGTTTTTCGAATATCGGAGGTTTTCGTAAGATAATGGCCAATCACAAGTCCGTGTAATCATAATTACGCGCGGCACACAATCGCGACTCGTCGACAATGCGGATTTATATAATAGTCAATATTATTATGCGATACTAGGACACGACATACATATGTATATATATAGATATATTTCGCGCTCGATTGTCAAACGAAAATCTCGCGAAGATATTTGATAGTAATTTTTTTCTCTCTCTTTTTTCTTGGCGCCTGTAATTTTCCGCTGTATACTGCAGCCTTCGCCGTTCGATACATTAAAACATTATTGTCATTATATTATATTGTACACACAATAATATTTTTGCAACATGGGTGTTTGTGTAATAATATATAACTCAATAATCCGACCTTCTCCCTCGATATCTTTCTCATTCTCTCTCTATCCCTCTCTCCTCTCTCTCACGCTCTCTCATTCTCCTTCAGATATACACCCGCAGCAGCAGCACGCGCAGTCAATCTGTGTTTCCTTTATGTCTGCGCCATGCCGAAAGTCGGTCATTCGTTTCCAATACACGTTGATTTAATGGACATCGGTTTGGTCTCGGGACGTTTGCCATTATGGAAAAAAAACACGAGTCGCGAACAATTTATTAGACAACGAGATTTATCGTAAAATACCATTTGGAATATTGTTATATTAATATTTATAGTATATGCAAGTTTTATATAGGTTTACATGCGGTCTGCATGTGCGCAATAATATAATATATGATACATATATACGTACAGTGAATAGGTAAGTGTATATAGTTGCCCACGTGCTATTCAACTAATATATTATTAGTTCTTGCTAACATAATACTTCTGCTGCAGCCACCACCACGTTTAGTTCTCCGCCAAATACCATATATACAATATTGTGCAGCCACGACTTCCACCTACTTTTGCATATTAATAATATTATATCGCCGTTACGCCTCGTGCGTGTGGTCTGCGGGCGACGGGCGTTATGAATGCATACATGGGTTCTGTCTGCTATAACATGCGATCGGGCGATTTTGATTCAAAATTTATCAGGTATTGGGACATTTGATACTTATCGAATTCGAAATATAATCTGAACGGAGAGTTTTCGACTGCAGTCGGACACGAAAAGCTATACGGTGTGAAGGACGCGGGTAGAATTATATAATGACTACAGCTAAACCTGTGCACAAAAAACTTATTTTAAGAAACGCCTACTCATCAAAAGCTTTTGCGGCCCATAATATGATCCATTTATTATTCATCTTGGATAACGTTATTCGCAATGAACCCAAACAGCCCGTCGGGCGACTGGCATAACAGGAGTTTAATCAATTATTAGTGTACTGTTTGTATACAACGATAGAACAAACGCATTTCTGTGATAACAACTCCGGCCGTCGTGGTAAGTACTATGAATTATTATTGAACGTATAGAAGTTCAGAGTAAGTACATTAACCTGCACGAGTAGGAATTTCGCCTTCACCATCACTATTTGGTTTTATGGTATACGGAACCAGTAAAATCATTTTAATATATCGTTGATTATTAATAAAAATATACCTATATAGGTACTAATAATTAATATAGTATATATTGTAAGTATAGGTACTTAACTATAATAGTTAGTTCAATTTCACAATATACTACATTTTATTCGAGGTAATGTCAATAAGCATCAACACCGATTGTATTAAACGTGTTGTAAACTTGTAAACCGTTCAGAAGGTTGTCCATCAAGAGGACGAACTTTATAGAACAAAGAATGTTCACGAGTTCTCTACGCCCTTACGAGACACTGAACGAGAAGAAAGACCCGACAGGTCTGAAATTGCATCGCGTTGCATATATGTGTTGGACAACAGTTTTTAGTTTAATTCCACTGTACATCCCTGCAGTTTTCTTTCACCTCCCTTATTCGCCAGAAATAGTGCACGAGCTAGGGTCGATGTTTTTGAGTTGTGGATGAAATAAAAATATATAGCACCTGGCGTTTGGGATGAATAAAAAATAAAATATCGATTAAAATGTATTTTACTGACAAGGTACTATGCTGCTACTACTAGGCCCCTAGAATCAGGGGGGGCAATGTCTGGACCGGGGAGTCCTCACCTTCGGTGCGCCACTGATACACTTAAATTACAGTACATAATTATTACTTTATACATAATATAACGGGTCTACGACTATACGACTATACGAGTAATGAGCTATGAGCATACGCTTTTCTATACATACATACATATATATATATATACACATATATCGTTATATAATATATTTATATATACGCATCAAGCATGATTAGTGTGTGTATAATACGAATACGAATAATAATATTATATAGGTGAGGATATCGCACGTCGCGAGTGTTGTTTTCGGTCATGATGGCTCAGCAATAATACTATATACGCTCAGCTGAGTTTTTCAAAATTTTCGTTTTTTCGTCTCGGTTGTTATATTATATACTTACACATTAAGTGCGCACACGCGCACACACGCACACGCACTCACACACACGCATGCATGCACATACGCGCACAGTACT